CGTCCGCTCGTTTTGCGACGCTACTAGTTCTTTATCTTAAGAGCTATTGTTCTACTTTTTCGCTATTTGGTTCGTTATGGTGTCGAGTCTTGTACCAAGGAAGGAATTTTTTCTGTACCGCTTACAAAAAAAGTTATTGTAAAAAAAACAAAAACCGTTTTTTACATGTTCCATAATTTTACACTTTTGCCGTTTATTAACGATCCTAGAGATCGTTTATAATTTTGCATTGCTATCTGTCGCCTGCCGGTTGGTCTCTCCGTCTGTTCCTTTGTATGTCTGTCCATCTATCTGTCCGTGTGAACGATAACTTTTGTTTAGAAATGTTCGATCGCTTTTACATCTCCGTTAGTTATGAACTGAATTGCATGAAATTCAATATGGGCATAGATTTAGCCATATAATACGCAATGCCAAAAGTTTAATCGAATCGATTCAAAATTCACAGTGCCCTTTTCGCATCTCGACCATTTATAAACCGAATTGCAAACTTTTTTACTTATAAAAGTATTTGAATGAAATTTGATACATAGGCACTTGGAATAAAGGAAAATCAAACGCCAATTTCAAAATTTGGTTTTGCGCATGCGCAGTGCCAACTTTTTTATTTATGGAAGAATTTAAACGAAATTTGATACATAGGCACTTCGAATAAAGGAAAATCAAACGCCAATTTCAAAATTTGGTTTTGCGCATGCGCAGTGCCAACTTTTTTATTTATGGAAGAATTTAAACGAAATTTGATACATAGGCACTTGGGATAAAGGAAAATCAAACGCCAATTTCAAAATTTGGTTTTGCGCATGCGCAGTGCCAACTTTTTTATTTATGGAAGAATTTAAACGAAATTTGATACATAGGCACTTCGAATAAAGGAAAATCAAACGCCAATTTCAAAATTTGGTTTTGCGCATGCGCAGTGCCAACTTTTTTATTTATGGAAGAATTTAAACGAAATTTGATACATAGGCACTTGGGATAAAGGAAAATCAAACGCCAATTTCAAAATTTGGTTTTGCGCATGCGCAGTGCCAACTTTTTTATTTATGGAAGAATTTAAACGAAATTTGATACATAGGCACTTGGGATAAAGGAAAATCAAACGCCAATTTCAAAATTTGGTTTTGCGCATGCGCAGTGCCAACTTTTTTATTTATGGAAGAATTTAAATGAAATGTGATACATAGGCACTTGGAATAAAGGAAAATCTAGCGCCAGTTTCAAAATTTTATTTTGCGCATGCGCAGTGCCAACTTTTTTATCTATGGAACTATTTAAGTGAAATGTGATACTTAGGCGCTTGGAACAAAGGAAAATCTAACATTAGTTTTAAAATTTAGGTTTGCGCATGCGCAGTTCCAACTTTCTTATTTAGAAAAGCATTGAAATGAAATTCTTCTCATAAACTGAAATTGAAGTAGCACGTCAACAATGGATTGCCCATGTGCAACGCTATCTTTTATATTTGTGGCCGGATTTTAACGATTTTAACAGAAGTTGCATCTTACAAATGGGAAATGAATGCAAGTGGAAATGCGCTTTATGTAAATCGTTTACGATTACTTTTTAACTTGTTATAAATTCCTTCGCGAAATAAATAAAAATTCAACTATTGCTTATAAAGTCATTTTTAACTGAGTGTATGGTATAAGTTTGTCGGTCGAGTCGAGGAACAGCCTGTATATAGCTACTTTAAGTATTCATTTACAAAATGTAAAATCAAATCATAAGTTCATCTAAAAATTGCCTACTATAATTAAGCATAACATGGCAATGAAGTATAAGTAATAGGAGCGGAAGACTGTAAACTATTAGCATATCTCGTTTTTTGTAGGTATCACAAAAAGTAACTAGAAATATACAGGGCGTCTGGTTCAACATTCTAAATTTGGAACAATTTCAAGAAGCTTATGACTCCGATTGGGATTTTAATAATTTAAATGTAATAATGATACTATTATTAGGTATGGTTTTTATTAAAGCCAGATTATCTCAAATTCCTGCGTGACCAGGACCATGGCATATTCCCGTGTTTTTCTCTATCCTAAAAGCTCTACTTTCGATTAATCGCAAATAGCTTCTAACGTATCATTATTCAATTCACATAAATTCAACTTAAAAAGTTAATTAAAGTGATGCCTACTGCACGCACCTATATAAGCGCGCGGTTTAATTACATTAAAATGATACTTACTCGTTAATGATGGTCAGTAAATGTTTCGCGTTAAGTTCCCACATCATCCACCTTTTAACAATAATTACTAACTCATAGGTGTAACTAGAAAAAAAAACGATTTAATTCGCGCACTGCAATTATCGTAATGAAGAATAGGTGCGCGCCGTTTCGCAGTTTACCGGTCGACTAATTTGCTTTCATTAACGTAACCGATTTATAGAAACTCTCTGATAGATTATGTGCACTTGAAATTTTGTATTATATTTTTATCACGTGATTCTCGCCACTAGGAAAATCCTTGGTTGAGTAGAGAAATGGTAGGTAATCAGATAGCCGTTGCCGCATTCTCCGTCAGGTGATTTCGTCTTGTTACACTTTCACACTGATCGTTATGACACGTTCCCGTATAGGGGAGTGTATCGGTACCGTAAACATGAATGTTCAAATCTTAATTATTGATTATCTCCAAGTGTAATCGAGATTTTGGACCAAAGGTTGCGATAATCGATTGGGACACTACTCCAAATGGAGTTCTATCAAGGTAAACGTCAGAGTACGGACGTATTTAATTTATTTTTTAATTAACAATTCGCGCTACGTAATTCGGATATTAATATGGAGATTAGTGTGAACGGACAAATCTAAACGTCCATGGAAATTGAAACCAAATTTTAATAATAAAATTAATTCAAAATTTATCGGTAACATTTGGGGTTATAAAGTGCAGTTCGCACATGCACATGGGCGGTAAAATAGAAATTTAACTCCCTCTGGGGTTCAGGATATTTGTCTTATATTAGAGCAAATGGAGTGCAGTTTTAATATTATTTACATAGTTTTGTATTCAAGGATAATTCCATAAATATCTTCTACCTAAAAATGCATTAAAACGTAAATCTTTCACTTGAAACCTTCGGCACGTTTAGCACGATTGAAGGAAAATTCGCCCCCCCCCCCCACAAGTATTCACCGTCGAAATATTTTCCCTTGGAATATTCTCGCGTGGAGAATTCGCCACCGCCGGAGTACTCTGTCGCTATGAACTCGGAATGGTAGGAAATTTACGTTGAAGAAAGTTTGACCTTATTGAAACTCCTCTTCCTTTGTTAATATTTTTTACAATGTATTGTTCTTTTGTTTACTTATTTAACGAATATTAATAATAATAAAATTTTAACAAATGGAAGTAAAATGTAATCAAGATATAAATTTTACAAAAAATTTTGACAGTACTTTATATTTGACAGATAACTGACATTAGAACTTTTGGTGAAGATACAATGTGACGGTTACTTTTGTCGAAGTGTCGGCCTAGGGATTTTGGTCACGTATGATTTTTGCCCGTAGTATGATTATTGGTTTGCTTTGTCTTCTTGAGATTTCGGAATTTGCACGATTCGAGATCTTTCTGGAGCGGCAAGATGGCGATTTTGTCATTTGGTTGATACTTGCTGGAAATTGGTTAAAAATGGGGACATCCGTCTGGTTTGGCTTGCAGAAAGCAGATTGTGGATTGTCTCTGTTTGGATGCCGTTTGACGGGAAGTTGACCTATTTCTACATCGATATTGTAGATTTTGGGACCATGCGGTAATTTTTTTGGTTTGCAGCGGTTCTTATTCCTAGAGGATTCTTCGGAAGGGGTTTATATCATACCGTACCGCATGAGGATTTAAACGTTGGGACCAGTATTTGCATTTGTTTTTATTGGCGAATAGATCTGCAGAAAAAAAAGGAAAGCCGATTGCTTTTCAATTTCAATCTCAATCTCAATCTCAATTTCAATTTCGATTAACACTTTAAAAGTTTTGTTTAGCTTTTGAATATCTGGTGGAAGTGCATTATACAGCTTGATACAGGCGCAGGCCCATTTCTCGAAATGGCAAAATAATTCAAGATTTCTCATGCATATTAACAAACTGATAAAGAGGAGATATTTTAATCAGCTCTAACCGGAAAAACACTATCTTCATTACAGTTCTTTACCGGGAAATGTTACGTTCGGTTATTAACATTAACAGTAATTAATTTTAATATTTTCATAGAACTTTATTTGTCCTATAATCAATTATGATTTATTAAACTTTTGGTATTATTAGTCGTACTTAGTAATTATTCAAGAGGGCCGATAGATAATTTTTTCTTTTTCTTTTTTTGTTTGTTTGATTTTTTTTGTTATTGGTTTCGGTAGTTTAAGTACTGTTATCAATATTACTAGACATAATTTTTACTTTTGATTTATTGCACTCTATTGTACTCTGGCAAGTTGCAAAATGTTGTTTTTGCTCTGAAATTGGAAAGGTTATGTCTTTCTGTTGAGTAAATAAAGGATTATTATTAATATTATTATGGTCGGTGTTTCTTGTGAGAACTCAGGTGTAGCCTGGTTAACTAATCGCATGGATTAAAATCAAGTAACGATTAGTGTAAAGAGACGTATACGAGACGTATTTCAAAAATCTTCCAAAATATTTTTAAATCAACCGCAAATAATTAGCATTTACGAAAAAGTACCTTAGTAGCATCATAAATAAATATAAGGAACTAAAGGGGACCCAAGATAAATCCTTGAGGCACCCCAGAGGATGCAATAAAAATTCAGATTTAAGTCGATTTGATAAGGACGACGTAAAGAGGAAGTTAAGAGAATCACTGAACAAAAATTCCTTATCTTATCAATAATTAATTTGTTGTCGATAGTAGTAGTGAGCCTTGCGAA